AAATCTTGGTAAATTGTTCTCGTTTGGTAAATTGCAGCTGTGTTTACAAGAATGCTAAATTTCAGACCTGCAACAACATAATGGGGGAAAGTATGATGTATACACATGCATTTGACAAAACAGCAAGTACCTTGAGTTTATTAGCCAGAAGGTTAACTAATTTCAAATCCATGGCATCCCTACTTTTTGAAAAACTCACAGATCCAGTGGATAACTAGCTGTAAAGTACTGTGAATGTGCAGTTTTTCATTTAATCCAAATTTGAAACATTATACTTTAACAGCATCCCTTTATTTAAATTAGTGAGAGATTAACTCCATATCCTACCAGCAGTGTGGTCCTAAATACACTTTTGGATCTACATCCAATATATGGTGTCTTATTTACTTAGAAAAACAATGCTGGTACAACAGCATGAGCTTTGGTGCCCTTCCTTGAGTATTTATTATTATTATTTTTTTGGTACTGCCAGTCCAAATCTTCTCTTCTATCTTTAACTATGAATAAAAAGAGTTAGCTTACTTTAAAAAGCCTTCAGCTTCAAGCTTACCCACGAAAGCTTCTGCCCAAATAAATCTGATAGTCTTTAACCACTGGACTCCTTGTCGTTCCCTTTTGTTACTAATAATACTTTGCAGATTTACATGTCTAATCAGCTTTCAAATTTCATGTTTCCATTTATGTAACTGTATATTTTTTCAAATTGTATAAGTGGGAGTTTTTAACTAATTTTCATTTGCACAAACATGATGACATCATGGTCTTGGACTATTCTGGGAGCTTGTTTTCTGTCTCCTCTGTAAAGTGAATAACGCAATACACTAGAACTGCCAACATGTCTTCTGAGATGTGAATGTCTTTGTGACGGGTTCCCCCTGAGTGCCACCTGAAATTGGTGTACCACTGAGCCCTCCTCCCCCCCCGACCCACCTAGGCTCCCTTTACACTGTACTGCTGTGACCAGCCTGCCAAGCCCTCTCCCAGGCTCCAGCCTGCCCTTTACCAGCACACATACAGGTAGGGACAAACCCAGCTGCAGTTACATACAGATGCTGTGATCAGCTCTGCGTGGGGAGGCAGAGCAAGGGCACCTCCCAGTTCCTAAGGCATGCACCTCCTCTCTGGAGTGTAAAACCCCAAATTATACCATCTTGCACTGCAGAGAGAACGGTACAGTGTAAGCTCATGAAATTCACTCCCTCCCGCAATGTGATGAGGAAATATACAACAGCTTTCTGCCCCGAGTTGATTTCCACACACACTGGTTTTAGACAAAGCAAAACTAAGTTTATTAATTACAAAAGATAGATTTGAAGTGATTATAAGGGATAGCAAACAGATCAAAGCAGATTACTTAGCAAATAAACAAAACACGCACACTAAGCTTAATATACTACATAGATGGGATATGAATAGTAAATTCTTACCCTAAATGATGATGCAAGTAGGCTGCAGGCTCTTAAGGGGCGAGCTGCACTAACTTACCGCTTGGAATCCCCAGGTGTTTCATTCACAGGCTAAAAATCCCTTCAGCCTGAGTCCAGCACTTACCCCCAGTTCAGTCTTTGTTCCTCAGGTGTTTCCAGGAGTGTCTTTGGGCAGGGAGTCAGTGAAGAACCACAATGATGTCACTCCACCGCCTTATATAGCTTTCGCATATAGCGGGAACCCTTTGTTTCAAAGCTTGGTTCCCATGCCAGTCAGTGGGAAAACACTGGTATCCCAAGATGGTGTCCAGTGCCAGGTGACCTGGTCACATGTGGCTGTAGTGTCATAGCAGCCATGAGTCAGAGGCAGTTTGTAGTGTCCTCAGGAAGGGTCCCCCTTCCCCCAAGTGGGAGATAAGCTTCTTCTAAGGCCTATTGTTTTCTCCTAATGGCCCTTTAACCTGAATGGGCCCTTCCCAGCCAGTCATCTAGACTGAGTGCATTCTTCCTAGTGGGCGTTCCCCATGTGTAAACACATTTGTAATAGATATAGACAATATTCCTAACTTCAGATACAAAAATGATACATGCATACAAATAGGATAATCCTATTCAGTAAATCATAACCTTTTCAATGTATTTTATGCAAGATAGGTCATGTAAGATATCATCATAGTTATGCCATAATCATATCATCATATCATATCTTTATGAAGAATATGGGGTGCAGTGTCAGTCTTGGGTAATGTGTTTAAAGTATTGTGAATATTAACAAAAGTAGGTTTTTTACATTCATAATTTTATGCCACAAGGTACACAAAAATAAATTTTACACACACTGCATTCTCTGCTTCCCCACAGCAACACTCACTACTTTTAACCATTAGGAATCCAGGACAATTCCCCCTCAGTCACTAGGAGTCTGTCATCACTAGCCTAAAGTTCCAACTTTCTCCCTCAGAATGCCCTCTCTCTCTTCTCCTCCTCCACTATAGTCAAAACCAAACAAAGCTTCAGCCACCCAAAGACCCAACACATTATGAGGGTCTTTCAGAGTCCATAAAACCTGCACCCAACAAATATCAGGTTTGGTCTACACTTAAAACTTACATTAGCAAAGCTGTGTCAGTCAGGGGTGTGGGGAAAAAAACACCCCGACCAATATAGTTATGCCAACAAAACTCCCAGAGTCGACGCGACTATGCTGACAGAGTGCTTCCATCGGCATAGCTAAAGTCATTCAGGAGGTGATGTTCCTACACTGGCAGAAAAACTCTGGTTGGTCTATGCTGCATCTACGCTATGGGGCTATGCTGACATAGTTGTGCATTTGTAGGCTCTCTTGTGTAGACATCTTTTCCTGTCCCTTATGTAGTCACTTGGAGCTCAAGTATAGCCACTGGTATTTGTGTGGTATTTTTTAATAAAATACATTTAAACTGGTGGACCAAGTTACAATTTTGATAATGAGCAGTGCATGTGGCTCTCCCACTGATGTAAATGTGAGATTTGCACAAAGATGAGGAGTCAAAGTCAAATATAATCTTTGTGTGGTAGCTAAACTTTTAATATTTAAGTACTTTATTGTCTTATTCAACCTCACTTTGATATCATTTCCCCACCTTTAGAACTACTACTCTTTTTGTGCCCTTTGATTCTCCTTTCTGGCCCTCCTGTTTCTCGCTCCTCTTTCTTTGCCTTTCCCTCTCCCTGCAGCAACCCCTAGTTCCATTACTCTTTTACTCTGTAGGCTTCCCTCTGCCCCCTTCCCCATTCTGTCTGCTGAATTAATCAGCAATGCAGTAGCTATTGTTGGTATGCAACGCAGCATCATTAGGGTCTAGTGTTAACACTAAATTGTGAAGAATGGTGTTTGCATCTCAGGCCTTGTCTACACTGCTGGGATAAGTCGACTAAGTTACGCTACTTCAGCTACAATAATGTAGCTGGAGTTGATGTAGCTGAGGTTGACTTACTGCAGTGTCTACACCATGCTGCGTCGATGGGAGACACTCTCCCATCAACTTACCTTACTCCTCTAGTTCTAATGTAGTACTGGAGTTGAGTGGAGAGCACTCTGCGGTCGATTTAGCGGGTCTTCACTAATCTGCTAAATCGACTCCTGCTGCATTGATCGCAGCAGCGTCGATCGTCGGTAAGTGCAGACATGGCCTCAGTTACAACTAGTTTTTAAGGCTGTGTTTCTGCTGACTCAGGAAGACAACACTGCATCTGTTAATCTTCCCATTTGATCTAAGAAATATAGGTGCTAGAAACTTTAAGATTTCACTCTTTTTAAAAGATTCTGACCAATCTTAACATATCAAGTGGCCTGCATAAACACTTCAAGAGTAGGGAGGTGTTTGGTATTCCTTCTTTAGCAAAGGGACATGGTCTTAAGCACTTTAAACAGATCATCTAGTATAGAACAAGTATGCAATTGCACAGCTGCTGTTACGTAATCTATCATTACACAAGTTGCTGTAGATCTGAAAAATAAGGAATGAGTTTATTTCAGAAAATTCTAAAGGTAAATACACTTCCCAAAACAAGTGAAATGAAAACTGCAATCTTGCTTCTTTCAGTAGAGTTTTACCACAGCAAAAACAAACTATTTCAGGTATTGAATTTTGTATAGATTGCATGCAGTAGTTCTACATTCTCAGATTTCTACATCCTATTATGATTTTGAATAGATTTTCTTATATAATAATAATAAAGGTATTTTACCTGTATGGTTGATAACCTATGGCTGTAACCCTGGTGATGGGTTTTCCCTATTAGAAGAATGTCTGGTCTTATGCTTTGAGTGAGATGTTGGTTGGAATTGCTGCCTACATACAGTGCTAGAGTTTAAAATACTGTAATCCTCTTTAAGCTGTTTAAGGTACTGAGGAAAGATGGGTAGTAGATTTTGATGGGTGACATTATTTGGAAATCCCAAGGGCTTCATTGGGCTGTGTTAGTTTGATAAAGTAGAGCATCTGATTCTTCAACAGAAGAAATTAAAATGACTTGGCTTAATTAAATTTCTATTTATGTACCTCAGTCTGCTTTCTGTCTGGGAAGTTTTGCTATATATTCTCTTGTTGGGAGGGGAAGGGCAAGAAGACTCACCTTTTTCAGTTCTTGTCTTTGTATTTGCTGTGGCTAAGATATTTTAAGATATTTTTCTAAGAGGCTATGTTTCTTTCTGTAGGACTCTCAGAGAGACTTCAAGACTGTCTCATTTTTATTGGTTCTAATATATGGACAACACCTAGTCTCTTACTAATTTATCTGGCTGTAACTCTGGATTATTTCAACATGAAAAATATCAATTAGGAAACTATTAGTAAAAATTTGTTTCTTTTCTTGAAATGAGTCTAACTGTTGTGTTTTTGTCAATTATGCTGCTGCCTAGATAGAAACTAAATGTGCAATAAGAAGGAAGATAAAGCAGGTTCTCTATAGACGTGCATGTTTTGTCAGATCAAGAGATTCTTTGTTATCCATGAGTGTGTTAATCTTGTGGTCTTGTTATCTTTTCCTCACTTACCTCTCCCTTTATCTCTTTCAATCTTTCCTGCACAGCTTGCTCACTTCAGACAGCGAAAAACAAAAAGTGACAACACGCAGTCGCAGAAAAAGGCGGCGAAGAGGAAGGGCTCGTCTGACCACATGCAAAACATTCCAAAGGAAGAGTGCGTTATAGTGGCCCAGGATTCTGATGTTCTTACAGACCTTAATATAAGTATAGAGGGTAAGACTGAAGAGACAGAGACAAGCTCTGAGAGTAAGGTAAGTCTTACTGTTCACCATGTTTCATCTAAATCTGTCTGCAACTAACAGATCCTTTTTTGAGTTCCCATGTATGTGGATGCCATGCATGGTGTGTCTATGCCCTCTATACAGAAGTTTGGAAAGCTTTTCTCTAGCAGTGTTCACTAGGGCTTCGACATGCACCCTATATGCACTTCCCTCACCCAAGAGCATAAAAGGCGGACCGATCTTGGCCACCAGCCAGTTCCTGCTGACTGCCTTGAGAGAAAGCTGAAAGCTCTTAATGTCCCTACTTCTTACTTACATAATTTTGTAATAATTAGTCTTAGGTTTATTAGTCTTGTTTTGTTGCCCATTGGTTTACAAAAAATGTAGTTTGTAGGTAATAAGTAGTTGTACTGGGCTTTGGCTATTTGCGTCACCCATCCTCACTAGGCATCAGAGCTTGTTGGTTGTGTGGAAGAATTATTCTGTTGGAAGATGGACATGATGTGTGCTTATATTGTTTCAGGGAGAGGCATGTAACTTCTAAGTGTGCTATTTGTAAGATATTAAAAAACACACACACACATCTAGAGTCCAGGCTCAAGATTTACCTCATAGAGAAATCCATGAGAGCAGCTTCTAACTTAGAGATTCTGAGAGTGGGGACCACAGCCCCTTCCTGCTCGAGCCATGCCTTGAGTGCTCTGGAGGTAAGAGAAATCCCTCATAGCCATCAAGGTGCAAAGAGGCCTCTCAAATCTGACAGGAACTTGTCACTTCAGAAGAAGGTCCCAGTGGAATAGTCAAAGACCCCTTTTGCCTGTGGGAGAAAATTCAGTACCAAGAGGATGCCTGAATCCCTGGTACTGTATAAGAAGCAAGCACCAAAGTACTCTGGTGGCATGGAGGCCACATTCAGTAATGCTGGCTGTTGAATTGATACCAGTCCAGAGAGCTTCTTCTGCACTTACTTTACTTTGGGTGCCACACAATTGGTACTGGAGAACAGAAACATCCCCATTCATCAAAATGCTTGGTACCGGGGATTTGGCATCCAAAGAAATCAGCGCCACAGACTTCAGATTCTCACTCAGTTCTCAGGGCACTATCTGAGTCATCTTTTACAAACCCTAAGTAGATCATGATTATACAAGAGCCAGAATCTTCTCTTTTTTACAGAATCTTCTCTTTTTTGCGTTTCCTACCTTAGTTTCCCAAAAATCTCCAGTGCAATAGGAGCCCAGGAAACAATTATGAAAATCTAATTATGGCCTGCTGCTACAGATGTTGGTAAGCTTTCTTCCCCTAAACAGATAGTTGCACCTTCTGAGTAGTCCCTGTGTTAGAGGACTTTTTGTCGTCTTCATCAGCGGAATCTTGCCTGGAGCCTTCCCCAATATCTGCTAAGGGCTCTAAACATCATAAGAATGTTTCTTCCTGGACTACACTGTTAGGAGTTCACCGCATGATACTCCGTTACCTGGGTGGATGTCAGTACCTTGGAATGCTATGCCTTATCCATATGATATCAATCCTGGCCTATTAGCCATGTTGGTACAATCCAAGTCAACAATTTTTCCTTCTCTTTCCACTTCAGGAGGTAGATTTCCTCAGAGAGAGTTTTTCTTTGCCTTCTCCTCCCAAAGTCTACAGTATTGGGTACACAGTGACCTCTTTCTGAAGAAGAGGAAGAGCAGATTCAGGATGAACCTTTTGTAGCTAGACAGTTTTCATTATTGTCTGATGACGCTGTGGTATCTTGTTCCTACGGCAGTAGATGACTCCAAGACTTCTGAAGAACGGTTAAAGAGGATGGCAGAAACATTAGAAATTCCTCTGGAAATACTGCAGGAAAAGTTATATAAACTTTTTGATATCCTGCAGCCATCTACCAAAAATAGGGTAGCCTTATCCATTAATGGGGCATTCTTGAGCCAGCTAACAAACTGAGGGCAACACAGGCTTTTATAACAGTAACTTCTAAGTGGGCTGATTGGAAATATCAAGCCTCTCATAGGTATTTGAGTATTTTTATACTTGTCTGGCTCCATTGCTATTGGTAGTCACTGTGGTAAATGAAAAATCCAGGCAGGCTTTGAGATCTACCTGAGGCAGGGAGAGAGAACACCGAAAAGCCCTGGATCTCTTCGGGACAAAGATTTACTCTGCTTCCCTTCAGGTCAGATTTTCGATTTATCAAGCCATGCTGGCTAATTATAACTACATCCAGTGGGATAAAGTGGCAGAATTTCAGGATAAACTCTTAATTCTGCAGGAAGAAGAATTTACTTCCATTTGCTCTGAAGGAATATTGATTAGAAAAACATCTGCACAAGCAGCATTAGACTCCAGCTAATGCAGGAACACGATCAGTGGCAAGTGGAATTGTCATGAGAAGTGTGTCACAGTTCAGGGCAACTGCACCTGTATTCCCCTTCTGTAGTCCAGCAAGGGTACACACACTAGGCTCCGCGCTCCTCAGCTATCACCTCTGTGATGCATGACCAGAAAGGGTTAAGCATCTTGCAGGATAAATGACTCAAATTCAACCCTTAAAAACATATGGGGAGATAATGTTTGTGTTTTTGTGTAGGTACATATATATTGGTAAAAATCAACAAAACAGTCCGTCTATGCTGTATTCTGTTAATTCAGAGATCAAAAGAACATCTTAACATTTAAATGAACTGTAAACACAGAATGTTACTGTATTCATCTCTCTTTGAAATGTATATCAAATCATCTGCGAATGGTGGAAAAACAGGCAATTGCCCGGTGTTAATCAGTGTGAATAATTACTGGCTATGCTTAGGAAATGGGTCCACTTCAAAGTCCACATGAGTACTTGTTGTTCGACTAAGGACTCTGACCTCTCAAAGAAGGAATTGAATAAAAGATCTTTGGGTCCCAATCCTTTTTATCTCAGACTTGCTTGAGGTTTCATGCAGGGGAAGCCTAAGGCACAAGGACTGAGATCCCAATTCTGACTGGACCACCCTGAAATATAAACATTGGACTATAGGCTTTGAACTATTTCTGAAAGAACTATTTGTATCTACAAAGCTCACCATCTCTGCTATGAATCTGAATCTCAAGATTGACTCATGTCTGTATGTATACTGTTCTCTTAAACAATTCTATCTCCCTTTTTAAATACATTTTAGTTTAGTAAATAAGAATGGGCTGTAAGCGTGTATTTGGGAAAGGTCTGGAATATTCATTAACCTGTAGGTAATGTGTCCAATCCTTTGGGATTGGTAGAACCTTTTTTATATGATTAAGATTTTCAGAAATCCTCATCATACCTGACTTCGGTGTCTAGGTGGAGGCCTGAGGCTGGGTTACTTTAAGGGAACTGTGGTGTTCTGAGTATCCAGTGAGGTATAATAGAAGCTGTTTGTGCTGGGTTGGTAAATCTAAGCATTGGAATATCCACCAGCTTTGGGGATTGTCTGCCCCATTCTTTGCAGTTCACCCTAACTGAGTGACCTCAACTGGCTCCCCTAGGTCTCTGGTCACAACCTCTCTTTGGGTAGAGACCCACAACTCTCCTGTCTGACTGGGTTTTTTCCAGGCTGCATAATTCCCTGCACACACTGTGAATTCCCAGCAAGTTGAAATGCCCAAACGGTCCTGCTTTGCTTTTCTCTTCAGACGTTCTAAATAGCGTAATTTTCCAGTTAGAAGTTACCACATAGCTCTTTCTAAGCAAGCACATTTATTCTTAAGGTGAAAGCACTACAGAAAAATATGTATTAAAAAAGAAAAAACTTACATGCTAATAAGCTTACCAGACACCACCACAATTCCAACGAGGGCTGTGGCAGATGATCAGGTCTTCAAACCTCACCAGGGTTTATTTTTTCTTGTCACAAGTTCATAACAGCTGTTAGCACAGAACAAGCACATGCATGAATAGGTCATGCTCTTCCAACCTTAGAATCATAGAATTATAGAATATCAGGGTTGGAAGGGACCTCAGGAGGTCATCTAGTTCAACCCCCTGCTCAAAGCAGGACCTAATCCCCAACTAAATCATCCCAGCCAGGGGTTTGTCAAGCCTGACCTTAAAAACCTCTAAGGAAGGAGATTCCACCACCTCCCTAGGTAACCCATTCCAGTGCTTCACCTCCCTCCTAGTGAAAAAGTTTTTCCTAATATCCAACCTAAACCTCCCCCACTGCAACTTGAAACCATTGCTCCTTGTTCTGTCATCTGGTTACCACTGAGAACAGCCAAGCTCCATCTTCTTTGGAACCCTCTTTCAGGTTCCCAGGAAGGTTGGCGCCTTCCTTGGAGAGAAGGTACTGTCTGTTTTCTAGATGATAAAAGCAAGCCCTGAGTCAGTTTAAATTTAGGCTGTTTATCTCAAAGTCCTTTCTTTGTCTGTTGGTTCTCTAGAGAATCCAGTTTGAACCAGTATATGCAAGCCTCTCCAGGTGTACCACCTTTTGGAAGGTGTGACAACCTGAGTGAATTTGCCTAATCATCCTCCACTGCTCTTAGTTCCTGGAGGGCTGTAGTCTCCCTTTCCCAGGGAGTAACATATAATCCATGGCTCACAATCGTACATACATAAACGTAATTCAGTAAGATTTATCCAGGAAATTTCCATATGTCACAAAAAGATTTTTGGCTCTCCTTATTGGGCCTGGCTAGAAAGGTCCAGACATGACCTTCCTTTTGACAATCAAGATCTTTTTAGTGCTAAAATGGATGATACATATCCTTTAAAGGATTTAAGACTCACATTAAGATTGTTGCGCCTCTATGCTCTGCCCTTCAGAAGAAAGCAGTATAGATCTCACGTATCTATCTAACAGAGGTCTCAACCTTCCACTTATAGCTGTGTTCCTTCAGAGACCTTTTGATCAGGGTAGACGGAGATCAAGACTCTAGAAGAGGAAAGTGTCAAATTAATCCAGTATCTCAGCACATCCTGGTTATGCTCAAAAGAAACAATTTTGCTGCTGTGGTGGAGGATATGGATCCAGTCTACATTGACCTATACCCTGTCTTCTCCTGTTTTGGCT